ATTAAGTAGTGGGATTCAAAAGGGGGATGAGGAGAAGATGGTGGGATTTAATTTAAGTGCTTCAAGTTTGGCTATAAAGAGGAGCTTGACACAAGTTAAGGGGGGATTTTCTGAACATTGAGAGAGAGGAAGACATTCTGAAAATCTTAAGAGAGTGTTGGAGAGTTTAAAAAGAGAAAACAAAAACAAAGTAGTCTACGAGTTTAGTTTTGGGTCTAATACACGCGTGGTTGAGTCTGTTTGTGGTGATGTTGGTTGTTGCTGTTTAGTCTTTTACAAACTTTTGGGGTTGTTCTATTGAGCTTGTTTGGTTTTCTTCAAATTTTCCCGGGCCTCGAATCTGGTTTGAATTGCTGCTGTTGGTTTGCTGTTGTCTTGCCGTGTTATTACTGTTGCTGACTCCTCCTTCATCTTCTTGTATTTCCGTTATCCAGGTACATGTTCTACGGCTCTCAAATTTAAAGGAAAGGAAGTAAAGAGTTATTGGAACGGATTTCTGAAAATAACTATTTCTTTGTGTTTAATTTGATGTATAAGCAATAGCTCACTTGATATTTCATAGTATGTATTGGAATGATTTTGGAAATGCATAAACTGGACTGATTAATCTATTTCTACAAACATGGAATATCAATCGTAATTAATCTCAGTTGTTGATTACTAGTTATGAAATATACTGTATTTAATTCTTTTGTTTAATAATCGTGAAACATTTTCCAAAAGCTTATGTCATAAAACAGGTTCAAATAGTTTATGGAAATCAACATGTTGGTTTAATAGGTCTAATTCTGAAATCGTGAGTTCACTTGAGTAAATAACATCATTTTAAATAGCAATATAAATAATGCTAGTAACTAATGTTAGTTCTAGAATGTTGGTGATTAATTTTAAATTGATGTCAGTTTTAAGCATTGATGCATTTTTAACAAACCGTAAAAAGAGCAAAAAAATGGCTTTGTATTCCACGTAGATTAACTCCAATAATCCAATTCATATAATAAAGCTAAAGTTGAACTGGATCGAAATGATAGCTGGTTTGTTAATATTTACAACGGCAGGCGGCAGATCTTAAGTTAGGTAGCGGGTTCAAACTAGAAGGTGTTTCCTTTTGTTTGAACCCGAATTTGAATTTGAAGACCGAACTTTTAATGCTAATTGATTAGGATTTTTCTTTATTCTTAGAGACTAATAAATAGGAAAATATAGTCGCTTTAGGATATCCTTGAATAAAAATGAGATGAGCCTCGCCGAATAAAAATACAAAATTGCGGGGCTCTCGATAAATATTTGTTTTAAAATACTTAGACTTAGGGGAGGGCCGTTTAGCCAATTTCACGGCCCTACCCTAAATAATGATACGCTAGTCGCTTTAGGCGCGTATTTAATAATGTTATTTTCCTAAACTCGGGTGAACTTTTATGTGACCCAAATACAAATCTCAACGAAGTTGGAACGTATCAAAAATTGCGGGTACATTTATGTGGCGCAATTCGAGATGCACTCTCACGACGTTGCAATTCTTTGAATAAATAATAACAAAAGCGGTAAATAGTTAAAATTCGCACATATGTTCATAATTGTATTAAATCAGATAATCAAGCCGAATATAACAGTTGAGCGACCGTTCTAGAACCACGGAACTCGGGAATGCCTAACACCTTCTCCCGGGTTAACAAAATTCCTTATCCGAATTTCTAGTGCGCAGACTGTTAAACAGAGTCATTCTTTTCCTCGATTCGGGATTCAACCGGTGACTTGGGACACCATAAATCTCCTAAGTGGCGACTTTGAAAATAAATAAATAAATCCCGTTTCGATTGTCCTTTAATTGGAATAACCCCCTTCTGCGCCCCTTTGAGGTGGCGCGGGCGAAAAAGGAGGTGTGACAATATTGAATGAACATTTCTTGCCTTAAAAAAAGATTTAGAATATAAAAACAAATTTAATGATTAAGATATAAATAATTAAATGTAAATAAATGGAGCTTTACTAGTATTATTTTAAGGAAAGACTAGTATTAGCACATGTGCGTGCGCTGAGAATTAAAAAGAATAATTTACACTGCATATTTTAATTTGTTAGTGTTAAATTTTTTATAACCAAACATTAAACCTATTTTGAGACTCCAGTAAAACTTATATTCGCCGCCATAATAAATATTTCATGAAAAATAATGATACTATACAATTTGCTTGATATGAATGTTCCATGATAACTAATAATACTATACAATTTACTTGATATGAAGCATGTGAGCAAAATCAATTAATTAAAGACATGTGAATCTCTTTAATTTTTCATCTTCTACATGCCCTTGATCACTTTTCTTAAATATGTTAAAGTATACTTTTAGCACATCTTGGACTTAAGTTTATTACTTAATATACTATAATTTAACTTTAGCTCAACATTGTATGCCCATTATCTAGAATATATACACACATAGGAGGGGGAAAAAGTGAGAAAAGATTAAAACTTATGAAATACTGCAAAAAAAAATCTCAGTTCTCATAAACATTTGAGATATATGAGGAATTAACTAAATGCAACACATTACTATTTTCATGGAGTTATTGAGACAAATTTCAGCTTCCTTCAATTATCCACATTTAAAACATATATTAATGAGAATAATTCAATAACAAATATCACATTCACGCCATAATTCACTTTGCAATTATGGATCAACCTTCCCCATTTTATAGCTACTATATATATTATAAATGCAGTTGTATTAACTAACATGTTTGAACCTATCACATTCTTTTGTATCCTCATTTCAGTGATACCAACACTTAAAAGACGACCTGTTCTATCTCGTCTGGGGAATTGTATATGACCAATAATCAGTTTAGGTAAGTTATATATGCACAATTATAGTGAAAAAAGATTACTTGTTTGGAACTGACCATTCGTTATATCATGCAAAGTAGGATTGATTTTCTCCATTTTCGATTCTCCTCCATCTACCATTTTTGGGATCAACACTTTGTAAAAGAAATAGTGAAATATAAAACAATTACCGAATAGTTCATTCTTATCAACATCAAGTTGATTTATCAAATGCTTGTAAGGTCTAAAGTTGATGATATTCAAACCAAACTGCAGATCATTGATTTGAACTACACTTGTCTTATGAGTAAACGTTAGTTTCAATTTATTCTTGTTTATCTTAAAGTTCATATCGTTTGGTCAAACTACAAAATTCTTCGTAACATACAATATCATTTCTTGTATTTTTGTTTTAAAGATACGTATAACAGACCGTTCAACAGTTGCATAAATTCGATCTCCCTAAAAATAAAAAACAATCAAAAAGAAATTCAAGTTAGTAGGAGGTCATTGCTATATAAAGATTATGAATTTTTTGTTGGTAAAAACCCATAACATACTAATGCATCAATAGACATGAGTAAACGATCGCTAATAGTCATAATAAACTGGATGACATATATTATATTCCTAAACATGCATCAACACCCAAATGAATTTTTTATCTTGGCAGCATGGACATAATTTGATCAAAACCCTCTGACTAATAGCTTAATCGTTTGAATTGAAATCTGCCATGAAGAAAAAATCCCTATCTATTATGCATTAAGCGTAAAAATTGTACAAACTAACATAAGAAAGCAATATTTAATGCCAATCTATAAAAGTAAAAACTACGAAATCAACAAATTTCATTGAATACAAAGAAATACAAATAAACTTGTCTGTAAATTAAAATCTTGAGTTGTTTATATATTCAATCACATATGCAGATTTCTTACATAAAATCATAAAGTAAAATAGATTTTCAATGACAAATTTTTTATTGCCTAACACCAGTTCAAATTATAAATTCCCTAGATGTATGCTTAAAATTGACATGCAAAAAGCATAAGACTCTGTGGAGTGGAGGTACATTGAGCAAGTATTGAGGGCACTGAATTTTCCTGAAATATTTGTGAGATGGATTATGGTTTGCATTAGTACAGTGACTTATTCAATTCTCATAAATGGCAGACTAACAGATCCTTTTGAGGCAAAAAAGGGACTAAGGCAGGGTGATCCACTATCACCCTTTTTTATTTGTTATGGCTATGGAATATCTGAGCAGGTCATTGAAGACCCTAAAGGAGGATAAAAAGTTCAAGTATCATCCCAGATGTGCCAAGTTCAACTTAGTGCAACTGGGGTTTGCAGATGATCTATTGTTGTTCTGTAGAGGAGAAGTGCAGTTAGTACAGATACTACACCAGCAATTTCAGAAGCTCTCTGCAGCATCAGGACTGGTTGCCAATCCAAATAAGAGTAGCATCTATTTTGGAGGGGTAAATCAGGTGGTTCAGAAACAAATTATGGAGGTACTTGGGTTTAACAAGGGAGAACTGCCATTCAGATACTTAGGGGTCCCATTGAGTACTAAGAGACTATCAGCAATACAATGTGAGCCACTAATTGAGAAAATATTGCACAGAATTCAAAAGTGGACAACAAAATACTTGTCATATGCAGGTAGAGCAGCCTAGTAAAAAGTGTATTATTTGCTATCCAAACATTTTGGGCACAGATCTTCATACTGCCTAAAAAGGTTATCCAATTCATAAAGACTATATGTAGGAGGTTTTTATGGACAGGAGATGCTGAACCAACAAAGAAGGCCTTGATTGCTTGGAAGAGACTGTGTTCACCTAAGGCAGGAGGGGGATTGAATTTCATAGATGTGGAATTATGGAATGAAGCTGCTATCTGCAAATTGCTATGGAATATATGTACCAGGAAGGAGAAGTTATGGGTTCATTGGATACATATCTATTATCTCAAAGGCCAAGCAGTGTGGAATGTAGAACTAAAGAATGCCTCTTAGGCAATACAGAAGATATTTCATGCTAAGAAGTACTTCACAAGAGCTGGAATGACTGAAGATGATGTTCAACTAATGATAAAGTGCTCCATCAAAAGGAATTTACAGATCACTACAAGGTGTGTGTCAAAAAGTAGCATGGAGAAAACTAATGTGCACAATCAAGGACAGCCAATGGATATTCATATTGAGATTAGCATTACAGCAGAGGCTAGCTACCAAAGACAGGCTGATACGATGGGGGATAGATGTGGATCAAACACGCTTGCTATGCAATAAGGAGAATGAGACAATGCAACATATATTCTTCAAATGTGAGATTACAGGAAAGGTATGGAATGGTCTACTGAGATTGCAAGGAATCCAAAGATCACACAAAAACTGGCAGGATGAGATTACATGGATGGAGAAGATGGCAAAGGGCAAGAGTGCAAGAGCAGCTATCTGCAGAATAACATTAGCAGTTGCAATATACCACTGCTGGCAGGAGAGGAACTTCGTGACCTTTCAGAAGAAGAGAAGGACAACAACTGCCTTAACCAAGGTTATTATACAAGAAGTTCACGTAAGGGCAGCTAGGTTCCCTTACCTAGATAAGGTGATAACTACTTTGAACTGGTATCCGGAAACTAGTTAAGAACAGAAAAGTAGGGGAGGTAGAGGAAGAGATAGGAGAATTGAAGACTAGACATCACCTTACTAGGGCTGCATGTCCAATTGGTTATAGGCTAGACAGTTTTTTGTAATAGTTAGAAGAACTGTACATATTCTACTTGGTAATAAAAGTTATATTTACCCAAAAAAAAATTATAAATGAAATTATAATAAATCTCTATCTAGACCCTAACAACATCGTAATTAAAGTGGATTAAATATACGCATAGGTTGAAGAAAATACAAAACAACTCGAATATCCACATTACCTAGTAATGGAAAAGATTAATAGCACTTAAAAATGTATGCACCTTTTTATCCTGATTAAGTAATTCAAGGGGCTGTCTAATTTATCACGATCTGGAACGTGCCATATCTAACAACTCCAACCCATTTTGATACTCGATATTTCACTAATATATATAGTTAATATTTGCAATCATATTTTACAATTTTTAATTGATTGTAGATTTGTTTATAATAAACTATACGTAAGGTATTTTGTAGTAGGTTATATGAGTAATATATTAAAAACTATAAGCAACAAATCCTAATTAAAAGAGATTCTTAATAGTATTTTCTTATATAGATCAGTGCCAGCTCTAATATGCAATACATAAAAAATCAATTATTAAGTAGATACACAATTTCGGAGGATGTTCAAAAGGAAAAAAAATATTTAATACTAATTTCTTAGATAAATGAGCAACATCTCTAATATGCAATTCATAGAAAAATCAATTATTAAGTACATACACAAATCTGGAGAATGTTCAAAAGGAAAAGGTAGTAATATTATTTCCTTATATAATGAGTAACAGTTCTAACTTCTAATATACCGTTCATAAAAAGTATTCAATTATTAATCAACGAAAATTTCTTCAAAAGGAAAAGATATTTAGTAATATTTTCTTATATCAATCGGTGATAACAATATATGCAGTTCATAAATTCAGCTTTAATTATTAATTAGATACACAATTCTAGAGAATGTTCAAAAGAATTGAGTATTTAATATTATTTCCTTATACAACTCGTTGGCAGCTCTAACAATTCGTTAACAAAAAAATCAATTAGTAATTTGATCCAAAATTCTAGAGAATGTTTCTTCAGAAGAAAAATATATTTAGTTATACAATTCGGCGACATCTTTATGTAATTCAAAAAAATTAATTATTAATTAGATACAAAAGAATATCAATTAATAACTTTTATTAATGTTATATAAATAGAATACAACAAATTGATTCTATTGTACCAAATAAGGTCAGATACAAAGCTTGTACTAAATAAAGAATTATTATTTCAACTTAAAATCAATGTATAAAATACAAAATGAAAATTTAATTGATTCTTTCTCAAAAAAGGATACATACCATAACTGAATTATAAATAAAATTTAATTAAAGATACCTATAGTAATGTATATTGTACACAAATAAGGTTAAATACAAAGCTTGTACTAAATAAAGAATTATTATTTCAACTTAAAATTAGTGTGTAAGATACAAAACTAAATACCTGTCATAACTGAATTATACAAAAAAAATTAAATAAAGGTACCTACAATAATGTATATTCTACCCAAATAAGATCAAATACAAAACTTGATCAATTAAAGAATACTTCATCAATCTTTAATTTTTTCCATAACAGACGTCCCTACCAATACCATAATTATACAAAAAAGGTTAACTAAATTATACTACTCTATGTTATTTATTTTTCAAATTAAAATCTATATTTAATAATATAATAGAGATTCTGAAGAGTCAACATATAATATTTCCTATCATAATTAAAAAAATAATTTTTATTGAACTACTACTTTTATTAATTATGTTTTTATTTAAAATTTAAATTTTTAGTGTTGTCTTAAAAGTACTAAGTGACTTTATTTTAACTTATCATTTAGCTTAACCTAGTTATTCACTGCTCTCATTTTAATATAATATAATATAATATAGAATAGAATAGATATAGATTAAAAAAAAGCAAAAAGCTAAGTTGTGTTTTCCTATTTTGGTCAAATCGTGAAAATCAGAAGAGAATAAAAAACATCAAAGAAGAGGCGGTGTATAATTGTTCCTTAGAACGAAGCAGCTTTGGAACCCTAAAAGGGTACTCCACTTTGTATCGGCGTAAGACTCTTCAGGTGGCTGTCTCTGCAAACTGCAATTCCTTCCTTTACATCGGATTCGTGTACAAATTCTACCCAGAAAAAAACCCTAGATCAAAAATCGTATAAACCATGGATGATAGCTGTGCGGTTTGCGCTGAGACACTTGAATGGGTTGCCTATGGAGCTTGCGGTCACAAGGATGTCTGCTCTACCTGTGTCGCTCGTCTTCGATTCATCTGCAACGATCGCCGTTGTTGTATTTGCAAGACCGAGGCTACCGTTGTCTTTGTCACCAAGGTTTCCCCCTAATCTTCATTCTATTTGACCTTTGTTTCAGAGTAATGTATTTCTTTTTAGGTCTAGGTCCGATCGTGTTGTAATATCATTGATTTACTATGTATTTACAGTTTTGTATAGGTTGTATCAGTCTAGATTTTACCTGAAAGTTCCAAAATTCAAGTCTATTCAATTGATATTATATTTTAGTTTCAATATTGGCGACGACTGATGCAAGTTAATTTTTTTTTTTTTTTTTTTTTTTTTTGGCTTCTTTTATCCAAGTTGCCTAGATTAAAAATTATACATTAGAGCTTGATGCCATTGTTGACACAAACTGTAAAACTGTTTTTTGGTTGTACTACACACCAGCATTCACTTAATGCTGTTTTTACATCAATTTCTTTCTTTACTAATGAAAAAAGGTTCAAAATGATATACTTAGTTTCTTTTATATGTAGGAGCTATCATTGAGTTTGGGATCTAAAAAGGCGCAAAAAGTCTGTCTTTCTATAGACCAGTCTAGTGATTACTATAATTTGTGATTTGGGAACTAGGTTGACGGTGAAAAAAAAGATCTAGGTTGATCAATCAAGATTTTACTTAACAATTGCATGTGTCATTCTTTTGAATTCCTTGTCCAAAAAAGTGCATGGTTCATTCTCTTGAATGGCTCTTGTATTTATTTCAAACATGTCTTTGCGTAGCTTCAGAAGAATAACGTATTTTCTTTTTAGTTTGGTCTCTTTGTACTCATTTTTTTTATAGGTAGTGATCACTTTGTGTTTGGGTCTGCTGATAACTATGAATGTACATTTCTAGGGATTTCGATCTGTCAAAACTCTATTGAATTGTTGTATGATTTTGGTTTTATGACTTAGAAGATCCTTGGTGGGTGATTTTCTTCTTTTTCCCCTTTTCTGTGTTGCAGGCTCTAGGAGATTATACAAGGATGATTAGTGACTTTACGGTATTTCCGTATGAACCAAAAGAAGGTCGAATTGGTTCTTATTGGTATCACGAGGACACCCAGGCTTTCTTTGATGATTTAGACCACTACAAGATGATCAGGGCAATGTGCAGGCTTTCTTGTAGTATGTGTGATAAGATGGAGGGGCCGGATGGTGATGGCATGAAGAAAAGAGCGAGGTTCAGAAATATTGAGCAGTTAAAAGGTCATTTATTCCACCAGCACAAGTTGCTCATGTGCAGCTTGTGTTTGGAAGGAAGGAAGGTCATTTTCTGCAATATATGATTCAGCTTTTATCTGTTTCATTCCTTTTTCATAAGAATTTTTTGATGTGAAAGGGAAGAATCACACTTACAAGATGCATGCGCAAAGTAGATAACTCATACATAATTCTCTATTCTATATGAAACCGCAACTGTTCATCTTACCCTAGTTGAAACGTCATGTGTTCCAGAAATATATATTAAGTAAAAAGGTTGCAATATTTGCCTTGCTACAATATTGACTAAGTTTATTATATCATATTTGGTAATATTTCATTTTCATGTTATAGTAGAATAAGTACATTGTTACGGTTAGAGAATAACTAAACTGTATAGTATGTAGTCTAAGAGTCCTATATAAGAAGACTCCTAAATAAGGAGTTCTTGTTGTACTTTTGTTCTGTATCGTCTTCGTAAGTGAAGAGCTACTTCGGATATGCTACTATTGGTCTCTTCCCTTTTGAACTTCAAGTCTAATAGCATATCTGAACGTTCTTATGGTAGTGCACCAACATGTGTGTGGTAGGTGCACATCATGGGTGTAAATCACATATCTTAACACAACCTAGTACACTGCACACTATAACTGATATGCCACCTACAGTAAAGTTGTAACAGAAAATTGACGTTTTCTTCTGCGCTATTGCGGTTGAAACACCAACTTATGTTGACCTTTGCCTTTTCCGGCGTTCTCTGCTATTAGGATAGACTATCATGCTGTTGTTCATGCCAAAAAAAAGCACTTTTCTCGGTTCTCTGGGGATTTACATGCAAGAAGGAGAAGGGGGAAGTCGCCTCATCCCTCCTTAACTGTATTGCGGAGCATACCGTCCGTCTGACTTTATGATCTCTAAATGTTTATCTACACGTGAGACTTTTTGCCAGTAGAGTAACACTAGCAGGTTAAACTCCTCTCTCCTCCTGAAGTTTAGGTGTTACAGAATTTCCCCTCCATGTTTCCTCTATATGCCAGTAAGAGATGCTGAAAATAGTAGTAAATATTTCGCTTATTGGGACATCTTGATGTCGTCTTTTTTTTCCATAGATAAGCAAACTACCCGTCATCCACTTCAAATTGTGCATTATTGTACCTTATCAAAAAAAAAATTTTGCTTTATTGTATAGGTCTTCCCACAATTTCATAATATTTCTGTATTGAGTCAGCCCATATAGCATAAAGGTCTAATTGGTCTTCTATTCTTCGTAGAGCTAACTCTATGCCAAACCTCCAATGCCATTTGCCTATGACTCTTTATTGAGTACCCTTAAATCTCTACCCTGACCACCATCCGCATTTACGGGAGGATCACCTTCAACTTGCTATGTGGTATTCCCCCCCCACCCCCACCCCCACACATAAATCCCGTCTACCGTCCTGCCAGTACTATGAACAGATTACTTACTGCACAGCCCTAGTAAAGTTTAAGTCCAACGGTAATTCCAGATAAGTTAGTAAGGCAACCGATGGGATGATATAGCACCTTGCCCGCCTGATCGAACTTACCTATATCTATTCAGAATATAACCTAGCTGTGAAGCCCCTTAATTAACCCCTCATCAGCTTGGTCATAATCTTGCTAGTGTTCTATAATAAGTATGATTAGTGGAAGAGTGGATCTTCTTGCCATAGACGCCTTGAATTTTCCGAAGAAGCCTGTAGTATTTCCATTAACCTAGACTATTTGATGGTAGATATGCAGAAATGAATCTCCACCTCTCTAAACCCACTTGTTCCATTTCGAAGTCCAAAATCATAGTTGCCCTTGTAATATTGCCTTTTCCCAATTCAGTTTGCAAAGTAAACCACCACATTTTCTTGATTAAAAAAAAAAAAAGAGATCCACCCCATTTGTATCCTCCAGTAGACTTACCTGTTTTTGACCAGTGCCCTATCTAGCATTTCCCTTCCACAAAAACCTTATGGAAAGTCAAGACTATCTCTTCTAAATTTCTTAACTCTAAAAGGAAACACTTTAGCAACATCTTGAAGATAACTTTCGCTGTACTTACTGGTAAGGCAATGAAAGATGTGTTGAGCCTCTTCTCAAATTCTTCCCGTGCTATGGAATGAATATAGTTCATTCATGTTTTCCTCCTTGAAGGTGTTCTAACATTGATGAAACAACTCCATTCTTAAGTTATCAGGACGGCAGGCTTTGTCCTGTTGAAACCCCCACATACTCCGAGAACTCGCTATCCAATCACACTCTCATCTCACCACCCCAATGTTACTTAAGCCTACACCTTCTAAAGCTTGGCTTCCACTCCACGTTTTTCTTATACAATCGTGTACGTGATCACTATATTGCTTCTCACCTCCTCTTTTCGTCATACTCTACTTCTACTGAAGTTACATGTTTCTCCTCTTATTAGCAATAAAGTTGATAACTGGTTTTTTTGTTGCATTGTTTTGTTTAAAATAATTTTTTCATCCTTAATAATACGTGTTTACTGTAAGATTTATTTAATGTTGCTAGATTTTTAAGTTTTCTTACCTGATTGCAGATTTGTGTATGTAGATTTTTGCTCTGTCACTTCATTAAGTAGTCTTCTGATTTGGCCCGTGTGAGGGTTGGCTTAAGTTGTGTAACTTAATAGTATTTTCCTCAATGATATACAAAATACTGTGCCTTAATTTGAATAGTCTTTCTTCCTTGAGAAAAAGGTTGGCATGAGTTGCATCATTTAATACTATTTCCTCGATGCAAAAGAGTTTCACAACCTTGTAACTTAACTATAAGGGATCGTTTGGTTAGCAGCAACAAAGTTATCTAGGTAGTAGACTGGATGGTGCATGTAGCACATACACCTAAGTTACCAAAGATGAGATCCAAAACCCAAAAAATTAGTCTCATCTGCAGAAGTGAATGGTGCTTTAAACTGGAAAGGATGCTGTTAACATCTATTATCTGCTCTGCTCACTTTTTACTTCAAATTGTAATTGCACTTTTTGACAACTGAAACTTATGAGTGCCCTCAGTTAATAAAATGGGATATGGTTTCTCTGCCCTCCCCAAAAAGGAAAAGAGGGGAAAGAGAGAGGGGGGGGG